CTAATAGCTGCGACGATTAGCTCAGGAGTGCCCATGCAAGGTCTGACGGACCAAATTGCCGGGCCCTATGCAGCAAGCTTAGACGCGAGCGAGAGCGTATGATAGCCCGAGAGCGTTAGAGCTGCTCGGGGACGCTGTTAAGCTGAGTCCGAGAGATTGCGACATAAGAAGACGAAAGAATTCCGCTGCATGCGCATATGCGGTAGCAAATGATCTTTGCAGTGGGGGCATTGGAAACGACAACACCAAAATGCATTTCCTTTGGGCCGCACCACTGGCAATAATTTAAAATATTTAAGCTGCTTGACCCGACAGAGAGAAAGAATAGTTATTGAAGTTGAGGTGATAGTGAGAGAGTGATAAAACAACAAAAGCTGCAAGACGAGAGACGAGAGCTGTAATGCAATGTAATTTACTCACGTCAACAACACAAACACAACAACCGGACGCCGAACAATTTTAAGTTCAATAAATAATAATTAAACACAAATCCAAAGGCATGCACTCGCGGAATAGAATAGGTTTAAATATAGTAGGTGGATTACGAAGGTATTTAATGTTTATTTAAGAAAATACCGGTTGTTAATGTAAAACAAAAGGAAAATATACGGAGCGCAAAACAAAAGCGCGTCTGATCTACGAAAGAGAACGAATGCGATTGTATGAGTGTCATGGGTTTTGCTACGTTTGCAAAATTAGGAATGAATTTCCTGTATAACCCGCACAGACCTAAGAATGATTTTATTTGCTTAGTCGTTTCCGGTATTGGAAACTTGACGATGGCAGAGATCTTGCCTGGATTTGGTACTATTCCTTCAGTAGTGACTACATGACCTACGAATTCAGTTTCCTTTTTCATGAATTCACATTTATCCATTTGTAGCTTTAAGTTGGCGTCTCTCAACTTTCCAAATACTCTCCTTAGTGACAACAGGTGTTCTTCCAATAAACTGGAAAATATAATGATGTCGTCTATGTATACAAAGCAATCTTTGAAGATTAACTCTTCTAGCAGATTGTTCATACATCTTTGGAAGGTAGCGGGGGCAGTGGTTAGCCCAAAAGGCATACGAGTGAACTCGTAATGTCCATGCTTAGTGGAGAACGCAGTTTTGTCGTGAAATACTGACATTTACCTAGTTTGTCTAGGATTTCATCCATTCGTGGAGTTGGAAATTTGTCCTAAACTGTTATTTCATTTAGACTTCTATAGTCTACTACCATTCGATATTTTTGATTTCCTAAAGCATCTATCTTCTTCGGAATCATAGATATGGGCAAGCAGTAAGGAGAATTGGACTTTCGAATTATTCCCTGTCTGATCATATCTTTGACTTGTTGGTTTACCTCCTGATCGTGTATCTGGGCATATTTGTAAGGTCGTCTGTAGATCGGGTCTTCATGTTGAGTTTTGATCTCGTGCTTGATTGTACTTGTGAAAGTCAAATTGTCACCTTCTCTGTACTGCACATCTATAAACTCATATAAGACCTTCTTTAATGCCTCCCTATCTTCGTCGTTTAAATGATCTAATCTTAATTGATTACATACCCTTAGTTTACTGTCTAGAGGGGAAGCGAAGTATTGATCTCCCTCTGGAGATGGATCAAGGCACTTATGTGCGATCTTCTCTTCTTTTGTAGAGGGATCTATGCACTTCTGTGGGGTCTTGCCGGCTTCAATAGCTTCTCCACCCTGAATGATTGGGTACGACCTAGCTCCTAATGTTACAGTGTCATTTCTGTAATCGATGACGGCTTTACTTTCCATCAAGTATTCTCTTCCTAATAAAATATCATAATTTTCGGAAAAGTTATGTATGTAGAACTTTTGTTCGGACGGACATGTTTTGTTCGCATTCCTCATTATACTCTTAGTTATACGAACAGGTCCATTGATGGTATGGACCGTAAGGTTATCGTCTTTTATCTCGGAATCTGTATAATTTTCTTTCATGATGTTGATCGATGATCCCGAGTCAGCGATACACCTTAATATTCTTTTATTAATGGTAATGTTTATATAGGGTCCTCCTAAGTTTCTTCCGAGGCGGCTTGATGAAAATTTACGTCCATCTTCGTTTAGCCACTCTGGCTCTCCCTCCCTCTTTTAGTAGGTTGGTTGGGTCCACTCCCACTACCTTGGTTTTGGGATATTTGCTGATTGAATGGATTCTGAGCCCTACCTTGATTCAAGGAATTTTTGAACTCATCCAGGATTTTGGGAATTTTGATTTTGATTTGTTCGATTAGTCTGACCTGTTCCAGATGAACTCTGAGTTTGATTGTGATAGTTAGTAGTATTATAATTTGGATAATAGTTTCCAACATTCTTTCGATTTGATTGAGACGATTTCGATTGATCTTTATTTGTACCTGAATCTTTTATACTAGTTTCGTATAATCCTTCTTCTTGTGCTGCCTTCTTAAGATTAGACAATGTAGTAATATCTTTTCTTTCTAAGGTCATGAACATTCTGTCAGGAAGTTTTCGAGTAATGACATCTTTAATTGTGTTATTCAAAGCATTTTTGTAAATGACATTATTTTCTGGTATGTTTCCTAAGTTTAGCTTATTGTTTATTAATAAAGCTTTTATTTCTTATTTTTCTATAAACTTACGAAGACTGCCGTTGAATCTGGTGGTGTATAGTTGTAAGAATTCTTCATATGGTGTGTGATTCTTGAACTCGTTGATTAGCGCCGTCTTCAGTTCGTGCCATGTGTTGGGTTGTATCATCTGCGATATGCGTTGTGCCTCTCCTGTCAGTTGGATCTCGGTCGCTCGAAATAGGATCCTTTGTTGTCGAAGATCTTCAGTTGGATATAAACTGCATACATATTCGATTCGGATGATGAACGAACTCAACTGTCCAGATGAACCATCAAAGGCAGGTATTTGTCGGATCGACAGCAGTGCCTGGTTCAAGTAGACTTCGCTCAATGTTGGTGATGGTAACACCATGTTGTATTTGTTGGTGTTGATTGGGTTTTTTTTGTTGTAGTTTTGAACTTTATTTTGGTTCACTTGTAATTTTTTTTGATTTTGTATTTAGTGTTTCACTGTCCTTGGTGATTCACTATCTCCGCTTCACTTAAATTTAGTTTTGCAAATCGTATGTGCTTGCAGCACATAGGTTCTTTGGCGGATTTCACAATTTTATTAACTATTCCGGGATTACGTGATCACAGTAATTATAAATTGCACAAGCTGACCATTACCGCAACTAGAAATTTAGTTTTAAAAAAAAGATTTTATTTTTAGTACTTATTTTTTTATGTCACAAGATTGGTTGAATTCCCCGACTTAACTTTACGTCTGCTTGTCTCAAACGGAACTGACTTCTCTACTGTTTGCTAGTTTCCATGAGCCCTTCTCTCGACTCTGGCTTCGGATGCTGCTTGGGGAAGCGTCGGCTTTTGATCAAAGGCATCCGCTGCTGGCGATCGGTGTTGCATTACATGAGTGAGCTAGGAATGTGATACTCATTGGTTTTAGCTAGCTGGAATGTCGGAAGAATCAGTTATTGATTTTTCTGTGGTGTCCTGTTACTTGTGTGGATGGGGTAGTTGTGTGGATGAATTGGGCATAAACATAATGAGTATGGGATGTGCAGAATTATGGATATGTCACTATATATATTTATATATAAATAAACAGTCTCCCAAACTGACTCAAACTAATTCAACTCAATTATATCAAGGATAGGATAGTAATTCATAGTCCGATAGGGTCCCGAAAGTACTATCCGCGATTGCCTAAGCACTATCGGTGATACTTGTCGGTATCCCAGCTTAGCAACGATCTCAGTGGGAGCCCACGGTCCCATAGGAACCCGAAAGCGCTATCCGGCGATTACCTAAGCACCCACACGCTCCCTTTTCGGGGAATTGGTCTGCCGTCCACCATTTTAGGTCTCAGACTCGAAGTCCCGGCAAATTATAAATATGGCTGTAGTTTCGACCCTGGAGTAGACTGAGATGTGTACCCCAGCCAGGATCGCTTCCTTACAGATCTTTAAACTATTTGTGAAGCGGAATGATGTAGGACTCATTCTAAATCACTGGGACACAAGACTGTTCCAAAGAGAGGTTAAAGAGAAAGGTTAAGGGTTTGCAAAGGGGCACAGTGGTTTAAAATGCAACTTGGTGTCTTATCTTGGTACCTTATCTGGACCCGCAAAAAACGATATGTTCATAGATGACAAATCTTCCAGATTAACGTTTTCCTCAAAAATAGCTAGAAAAGTGCTGTTAGCGTGAGGTAGATGGTACCGATACGGAGTGAATGCATTGTAAATATGAGACGAGTACGTTGTTTGGAAATACCAACAGCAGAATCTTTTGTTTTGTTTTAGGTAATGAACGGATGAATGAAAACAATTTGAATTACGCTTAGAGTTAACGAACGAAAAGAATTTTTTAGGATCACTACGAAAGTTTCTACTACATTGTGAAAGGTATTGATTATAGCACTGACTATTAACGGCAAGGAACTGAGAGCGAGCGAAGGAGTATAGAGCGAAGGCCAACGTGGAGCCCGAGTTCTGGTACTTTTTATAGAGAATGGATTTATTATTTTTTAAGTATGACAAATACTTGGAGAACCGGGGAGGTTAGGTAAGGTTAAGGGCGGAGTAAATATAGCTATAAAATGAGTTAACAGTTGCGTCTATGTTCGGTAATGAATAAAGAAATTACCAATCAACACGCGAGAGATGTAGATCTAAATCGATAAAGTTTGTTTTGTGAAAACACTTTTTGCGGCAAGGAGCCATGGAACAGTCAGCACAACCAGATCGGGTACAGTCAAGGGATATGGACAGAGTTGGGTGGTAAGGATCTTCAGGAAATGATATTGGGCTTGCTCTGGATACAGTAGTTAGAGAAGCATCGTTAACAGACATAAGGCCAAGAAAAATGTCCCTAATGTTTTTAACAGTATTAATGGACCAGGGAAATATCCGCTAGCCCATTGATAAAGTCATTGTGGCAATTCAGAAACAACAGGCTAGCGTCAACCACATATGGTCATGAGATCAGGACACCAGCCACCAGGTCCGGTTAGGAAGCGAGCAGAGAATGAAGGAAACGCCGAGGGAAAAATACAGGCCCCGCTTGTCGGAAAGTGCCGTTGGAGCCAGGCGGCGTCGGCTACGACGTAGAAGCGATCCTATAAATGGAAGGCTACGACGATGAGGGAGGACAGTCAGCCAGAGAAGAGACATCAAGAGTGAAGTGAAAAGTGAGCAACAAAGTAAGATCAAGCACGACGGGAAAAACTTTAGAAAGCGAAGACGTTGTGTGAGGATTGAGAGGCGGACTCGAGCCCAAAGCCAAGAGCCAAAGGCCCCAATCCCTTGAACCAACGGTGCGACGCTTGGAGTGAATCCCATAGGAGGCGAACGGCGATCGGGCCAGAAAACCAAGTTGGCGGATTTGGGCTACCTGCCAAGCATCAATAGCCCCAGTCGTTAGAGCCGGCGGAGCCACGCTTGGAGACGCCTTGGCGGGCCACGAATAGGTCGCGCACAACACAAGAAACGGAGAGGAGCAGAAACCAACTGCCGAACTCGTCCAGAAGGCGAAGTAGCGTAAGATAGTTCTAAGATACCAATAAAGCTTAATTGTTGTAGTGTATTGACACTCAGACTTAAGCACGCGTTGTCTTCAAGATTCCCTTTTATTCTATATCCCTTGGATGGTGTGGCCGTATATAGATATTAATATAATACCTAACACGCCTCTCCTTAGATGTTTAATATACATGTCATTTACAAATCTATTTTCTTATAACAATTTGATTTGTGTACTTAATCTAATTAGCGTATATAAAATTTATGTGATTTCGTATTTTTCTTTCTTCTTAATCTATTTAGTATTTGTTTCAGTGTTTAATTTGTACATAATTTGATTTCATAATTCCTTTCTTTATATTATTTTATTGTTAAATACGCTTTACTACCTTCCCTGCCTCACGTGGTCTCAACTCTCTCCTGGTGGGTGTTTGTTGAGAAACTATTTGTTCATTGTTGGTTTTGGAATTGTCATCTACTGAACAATTGCTTTCGACATCAGGTGTTTTCGCATTAGGCGATGTATGATTGTTAGTGCTTTGGTTTCTAATTTGATCCAGGTGACGTTTTATTTCTTCATTGCATTTATGTGATAAAACACCTGAAACTGCATGACTGCTAGCATCAGTCGTTAATACTAACGGTTGATCTGGGTTGTAGTGAACTAAAACTTGTTCAGAAGTTACTTCTTTCTTTACCTCTTCATATGCACTCTGACATTCGCGTGTCCAATTAAATTTTGTATTTTTCTTTAATAATGCATATAAAGGACTCATTATCTGAGCGAAGTTATTGATAAACTTTGAATAATAATTTACCATGCCTATGAAAGCTCTAAGCTGTGATACGTTTTCCGGAGCCGGTGCAAACAATACACTCGCAACTCTATCATTGTTTTTGCTCAGTCCTATCCTGTCAATTGAAAATCCTAGGTAACAAATTTTGGATTTAAAGAACTCACATTTCTTGTCATTTAATTTAAGTCCAACTGATTTCAGTTTTCTAAGTACAGCTTTTAGGTTTGAAATATGTTCTTGAAGATCTCGTCCTGTAACTGTTATGTCATCTTGATAAACCACAACTCCTCGCATACCCTGAAACAACCCTTCCATTGTTTTTTGAAAAATAGCTGCTGCAGTTTTTATACCAAATGGTAAGCGTTTAACTTTCAATAGTCCAATATGTGTGCTCCAAGTACACAAATTTTGAGATTGCTCATCTAAATTTAGCTGATTGTAAGCATTTGACAGGTCAAGTTTTGAATACAGTGTACCCCCTTCAAGCGCTGCAAAAATGTCGTCTATTCGAGGTAGTGGATACTTTACGTCGACTAAAGACCGGTTTAATGTAACCTTATAGTCACCACAAATTCGTATGTCACCGTTTGGTTTTAAAATCGGTACCAAAGGTGTTGCCCATTCAGAACTAACAACTTGCTCTAAAATTCCATCATCTATGAATTTTCGTAACTGCACTTCAATCTTTTCTTTCCATGCTAATGGTACTGACCTAGGCTTGAAAAATATTGGTTTTGCATCTTCTTTTAATAGTAACGATATCGTATTCGTAGTATATGAACCTAAACGAGGCTCAAAAACTTCAGCAAACTCCGATTTAATCTGTTCTGTAATTACAGAATTTGGTTCATTTACGTACACATTGTTCACCTGCATTAACTCAAAATTAAAAGCTCTCAAAAATGTTCTACCTAGCGAAGGTGGACTCACTGCATTGGTTACAACAACAACAATTTGTTTTTTTAGACCTCGATATTCGATCGTTGCATCGTACTCACCAATAACTTTGATTGAATCTCCATTGTAATCTACATATGGAACTAGACATTTTCTAAGTGGTCTGCTGGTATTTAAGCTTTCGTAAAATGTTTTTGGAACCAATGTGCACGGTGCACCAGTGTCGCAAGCAAATTTCGTTATGTTTCCATCAATTTTTACAGGTAAATAATATACTCCACTAGTTGAGGTTGTATCAACGCTATAGATAGAAAAGTTATAATTATCATTATCAAAATTATTAACAGAATAGGTGTCATGTTTTGTTTGAGATACATAATTTACGGATTTTTTTGATTTATTTTTACAAATGCTCGCCAAGTGACCTATTTTTCCACAGCTGTGACATTTGCATGCCTTATACTTGCATTTGTTTGAGTTATGATTTCGCCAGTGTGTGCATGGCTGCTGCTTCTTTTCTCTGCCAGCGTCGCAGTCGTTTTCGCCGTCGCCGTCACCGTCGCTTCTGCCGCCTCTGTAACTCACGTTTCGGTTGCCCTTGAAATGACTTCTGCCGTTGCTCTTTGCTTGATCTCTGTTCTCGCCTCTTTGCCTCTGCCATTGACTAGTCCCGTTCTTTTGATGCATGTAGTTGACGTTGTGTTCTGTCTTCCTTGTGCTGATCTTCGTCTCCATGATCATCGCCTTCTTGAGTGCATCAGCCAGAGTTAGATTTTCGTCTTCTTCACATATTCTTTCATATATGGGGTTGGGAAGGCTCATCACAAATTGGTTTAATACAAACGCTTCCAGATTTGAGCCAAATTTGCATTCCAATGCCAATTGTTTAACTCGAGCATACCACTCCGCTACAGTCTCATCTTCACTTTTTGTGGACATGTGAAATTTTTTTCTTTCTCTGAATATGAGTGTAGGTGGTGTGTAGTGTGTTTTTAAAATTTCACATAATTCTTTGTATGCTTTTGATACGGGTGATACCGGATCGCACAAACTATGTAGTACAGTGTAAGCCGCTGTACCGATCGACTTCAACAAAACTGCCTTTTTTGTGTTTTCCTCTTTCACATTCAATTCGCACAAATGTATGTCGAATTTTTCCTTCCAAATGCAGAACGTTTCTTGGTGTGGCGAAAACTCAGCAATTGTTGCCATTTGATAGAATGTTGGTGCTTCATTTTTCGTCATGTTGCTATTCATATATTATATGCACTTTTAACATGTGTATGTATATTAATACGTTTTATTTTATCCTCGTCGCCAATAATGTAGTGTATTGACACTCAGACTTAAGCACGCGTTGTCTTCAAGATTCTCTTTTATTCTATATCCCTTGGATGGTGTGTCCGTATATAGATATTAATATAATACCTAGCAATTGTTATACAGTAACCTAACCCAATCCGTGTGTTCTTATTTTTCGTCGGGGCAACTTTATAAATTTGTTGCGGCGAGCCCACCGACCGCAGAGCCAGCCTAGCTGAATCAGACGGAACAAAGAGGTTCGTTACAAAATAATTCTATACGATAGAATTAATTGCTAAGAGGTGGTGTAAGTAAAGCTCAGCATCAGACCTGGGAGGAATGTAGGAGCAGGTTAAATAGAAAAATGCCGAACCAACACGAACTTTGACTGCAACAAATTCAATTCCATGGATGTTATTGAATGGGAATAACTCAGATGAGAAATCAGATTTGACTGCAACCAGAACCCCACCAGCTCAAGATGGGCGGTCCATTCTATAAATAGTGTAACTGTCAATGAAAATTTCATGATCATTGATAGAAGAGTTAAGCCAGGTTTCGTTAAAGCGATGGCATCGAAATCAAAAGACGCACTATTTGTATTTATAATTTGACGCAATTTTCCCAACATTAGTTTTTTGGAGCAGCAGGTTCGGTAATTCTGGGACTCGAGTTCGAATCTTAATTGAAGAAAGTCATGCATGAGCGATATATATAAAACGGAGCTGTTTCAAGATAAACCTAGTGGTTCGGTTTAACGTTTATTTGAGCAAAGTGGTATATATATTATAAGTACGATACAATACAGAGTTGCCAGATAATCGTTGCTTATTTAAACGATAATATTGATTACATTTTTAACAGTTATAAATAAGCTATAATATTGACCATTAGGTGGGATGGGGCTAGACAAAGTGCAACAATCTATTTCGTATATTCGCTATCTCTCGCGTACTCTCTATGCTTCCCCCAACATCGTTGCGTATTCGCTCACAAAAGGTGCAAGAACAATTTATAGCGAAGTGCGGTCTGCATTTTCCTTGTCCTACAGAAATAAATTTTTGTGAAAAACATTTTTATTTTGTTGGACGTTGACATGCAATGAATGCATCTTTCAAGAGGCGATGCAATTACTGCACCGTCAAGTGGCCCGTGTGACACCAGCAGCTGCCGCATGACGCGCGGTGCGTAGCCGAACCAAACGCGAACATGCAAGAAAGACAGATATTAGACTAACATTCGAGGAAAATTTGCACTAAACTTACTAAGAAACTAAGCAAGCAATCAAAATACAAAATACAAATACCACAACAATTACTAATTACTAGAAAGGTGTGTAAGGATTAGTAATTTAATAAGAGGAAGAGAATTAGTGGTGGATATAATATGGTAGAGGGAATTATAATCCGAGCATAAGACCCTTAACGGTTCATGCAAGGAATAATTCGATCTACAAAGTGGAAGG